TTGCCTTAAACTAATATTTTGTTTTACTTTCACTTACAAACAAATGTTTGATATATGTGTACATGTCTCTCTACACAACACTTTTATTTCACTTATTAGTTTTCCCTTTTGTCATTTGACTTAAGGGGCCTGGTCGCGATTTTTCAAATATTCCGCAATTCTATAAAATTTGAAAATTAAATTTTATGTTTTAGTTGCCACCTCAATTATAAGACTTTTCCACTAATCTACTACCCAATACCTATTTAGGGGGGGTTGATAGGGTGTATTATATCGGTCAAAACACAGTTTACAGGAAAAACTCTCACACCTCGTAGATTGGTCCGATTTCCGTATTTTTTTTTTTTTGTTAGATAGAAGAATATACAGGGCGCATTGGACTTTGATTTTTGATTACGTTGCTAAAAATAAATAATAATACAAAAACTAAAAAGTTGTAAAAATGGATTAAATTCAAACTTGTAATATAAGATTTCGAAAAATAATTTTGAAAATCCAAGTTCAATGCGCCCTGCAATAAGTCTTCTTCTATTTAACAAAAAAAAAATTACGGAAATCGGACCAATCTACAAGGCGTGAGAGTTTTTCCTGTAAGGCATGTTTTTGAGCAAAAAAACAGGTCGCGACCAGGCCCCTTAACTGTTTAATTGCATAACTGTTGACCACTGCTTCAGAACCATTCTTTTGCTATGACTAAACATATTTTAAACTGCGCTCCTATTGTTTTAACTAATATCTGTTTGACAAATATGCTTACGCATATAGTTAATTAAACAATTGACATTAAATATACAACTGTACTTTTTGATTTAATTATTACTTTATTACTAAAGTTATTATTACTATTACTTTATTATTAAATTATTACTTTAAAGTTGTACACTTAAATAAGTTTTATTACATTTAGCAATAAAAACATAAATCAGAATATAATATATAACATAATATATCAAAATGTAAAACATAAATAATATAAAATAAAAAGATATAAACATTTTAGAACTATGAAATAACGCTAAAACATTTTTACTCTGCCATTAATACAATTAATTAATTGATAAATAAATATGTGATTTAAAATTGAATTACACTAACCGCCTATTAATTTATAGGTATTTATCGGACGGCAACTGGTGCCAGTGAAGAGCCTGAAGGTGGAGACCCCGTGCAAGTTGAACCTAACCTTGGGGACGAAAACGCCATGATGGACGACCACATAATTGAAGTTGTGATGGAAGACGGCGTTATGGACGAAGACAATGTGGAAATTGTCGACGTGGACAACATGAAAGTCCAGATGGACGTCGAAGTTTTGCCGGCAGACGTCGAGACCTAACCTAACCTAACTCAAGTCAACGAAGTTTCAGTCGTGTTTGCTGGAAACAATGGCCAACCGCCGAGAAACCTCGACCTGAAAACAATACATTTTATGTTTTTGATGATGATTGACATATTTTGGTATTTGCGATCTTACCTTCTCCCACGGCTCCGTCGCCTCGACCCTCGCTGCTGTTGTTTTTGTTGCTGCTGTTGTTGTTGCTGCTGCTGTCCTGGCTGCGGCCCCTGCCGTGGTCTAACGACCGACGAGGACGCGCCCGACGATGCCGCAGGTACCACGCAGGGGGAGTTTGATAAAATTTACAAAAGCTTAGCACGTGAAAAAATAAATAATAGGACAAACTAACCACAATTCCTTGCTAGGTGACCCACCTGTAACATCCTGTAACAAATCATGTTTAGTGTTATACTTGGCTTATGCAATACGCATGTGCTTTTTTTATTAGATACTTACGTCGGGCGTTTCCTCCCGGACTGCGCACGGACACAGCATTGTGGTATACGGGTGCATTATACACCGCATACACAGAACGAAAAACTTCGTTCAAATTAATAATAATACCAATTGAATCAACAAATTCATTGTTAACATAGGGCCAACAGGCATCATTGTTAATTTCAAAACTAAAACTTTGTTAATCGGTAGATTAACATACTGCATTGTTGTTTCACTAAATTGGCGGTTTAATGAAACAAAGTAGTTTATTACATTTTTAAACAGCAGTGTTGTTAAAATTTGTTGTTTTAACAATTAAACCATGTTATATTAACAATTAATTTAATAAAATCAATGTTTAATTTTTAAAAGGAATTTTTTATATTAATAAACAAATTTATTAAATGTATATACTTTTTATTTAAATCAATAAATAAGCTGTTTGAAACTATAAATATTTAAACCAGGTTAATTTTCCACAATCCTAAATTAGGAGGTTGACTTAGTCCCCTTAAAAAGGTAGCAATTATAAATAGGTAGTAGTAAAGCTACGTGTTTGATTTAGAAAATTATAACCCCTTCCCTACAAATCTTCAACACAAATTAGGCATAGATGGTTTTTTAAAATTATATATAGTATATAATACATTTTAACACGTAGGTAGGCATACAAATATATAATAGTATAAAATAGGAAGAAGAAAAAACATAAATAAAATGAGCATGACAAACTTTATTTTGATTTTGATTCAATATTAGAAAGTTAGGTTATAAAGTAATAAAGTATAAAGTTATAAAGTTATAAAAAAAAAAAATAATAATAAAACAATAGTAGAGGTACTACAATATACCTTTTTTTTTATTTTAGTTCTGAAATTATTTGATGAACTAAAGGACATGGTTTATCAAATTTTAATTTTAAATCATAGAAATAACGTTGAATAAATAACCAAACCCAACTTTCACCCGAGATGACTGATAGCTTGACACTCAAACTCAGAATAACATCATAAATATCATATGACATTAAATAAATTGGTAGGTAGGTACACAATATATTATATACAGTCGTACAATATAACAGCAAAATATTATGATAGTAGGTACTTACGAAGATAAGTGCCAAAAAATTGTATAGTGTATTCATTTATACATAGTACATACCTACGTTTAATAGGATGGTATTACATTTCAATAAAATTTGTTATTCACCAATATAATTATCTATTTGTGAATTTGATTTAATTCTCATAATTAAATAAATATACATGGTTGGTATATTTTAGAAAATATCCAATCAGAAAATTAGATTTTGTCGACTTATATGTTATAACCGCGAAAACATAACAATGATTACATTGATTACAGTGAAGCCTAACATAAAACAAATGATAACTGTTCTCTATAATTATCAAAAAATACAATTTTATTACCCCCTGTATGCTTTTTCATATTTAAACGGCCGTTTCGAGCACTTTTCGCTGTAGGCGGATTGTTCGATCGGGAATCGACTTTCACCCGAGATGACTGATAGCTAGACACTCAATCTCAGAATCCGAATTTTTCCGATTTCAACACACCCACTCAAGAACCGGCATACACGCCCGGGGCATGGATTGCGATCCGACGTAGTCGGATTGCCTACTTGGCTGGCTGTGTCTTACGATCGACTTGAATCGCGTGACTTACGACTAGACACTCTTCCGAGTTCAAAAATTACCGCTTAAAGAGTGCTGCCAACCCGACAAAACACAATACCCGACGACCCCCCCTTCACGCCGCAGGCCCGGATCAAAAAACCCAGCATCGCCGACAAAGATGCACCACCGCCCACACAGTCTTTCAAAATTCGAGTTTTTGATTCGATAAACTGCGTTATTATATTATATTAATAGGTACCTGCTTGATATATTAAATTGTAATGAAATTTAATGAAGTTCTGGCAGTTAAATCGTATAATGATATGACTATACTATGCTATACTACTTAGGCGCACCTATATGTTTCTTTTATACATGAATAGACAATAGTACAAATACAATACTATAACTAACCTACGTGTAGTACCTACTTGATATATTACAGTTTTTACGTGATTCGGATTTGGTTAAATACTGCTCCAGATTATAAAAACTGTTTAATACAATACTAATAAACTATATTAAAAAATAGTACGACTATATGACTTCTCCATTTGCCGTTTTTTCGAAAATTCGAGTCTTACCACCTTTCGGTCGTATCAGCCTCCCCGTCTATGACGTATTCGCTTTCCACGCTAAATTTATAGCCGGCGCGAGGCCCTACTTTTTCAAAAACCAGTCCAGGGGTGGTTAAACGTGAGCGGAAACGTGAGTAGGTACCGTGTATGTATCGCTATATACGGGCATAAATACATGCGTCTCGAGGTTCGATTTTTTTTCGCAAATCTCGCGTTTTGAACGTCCGATGGCACCTATATGTTTCTTTTATAAATACAATATAATATAACTAACCTATATGGCTATATGACATATATTGTAGTACCTACTTGATAAATTACGGTTTTTAAGTGATTCCGATTTGGTTAAATATTGTTTATATACGATATTAATAAACTAATAGATCTAAAAGAACTGATTAAACTCTGGCATTTAATTAGTACGACTATATTATGACTGCTCTTTTTGCCCGGGGTCGATGAAAACCCACCTTGACGTGGTGACCCCGCCCGGCCGACAGATGGGTCGGTCGCTAAGAGGTTTTCAAAATCGGGTCCGTTTAAACTAGTTGTGACGGACCCCAGGCGCGGCGTGAGCTGTTACGTGGCGCCAAGTCGTGCTCTCGCGAGCGGCGAGCCTATACCTCGGGTCGGGAGCAACCCGCGATAAACCACCAGTCAGCTGCAGTGTCCTTTGACTGGCAGGAATCGTGGGCGTAACCTGACCTCAGGGTCTGAGGGCCGTCGCGGACCAGAGTACAGGCGACCACCCTTAGCTGGGGGATTGCCCGGGGACCTTAGCCAGTTCTCGGGCGGTCAAGCCCGGCCGTGGACTTAGCCGTTTGCGGTCGGGAGAACTTCCGGAGGTTGGCAACTCCGGTCGTAGGCGCCAGGCACCGGCATGGACACACCTCGACCAGGCAGACTCAGCTTACTGCAACATACGCTTAGCCCGACGTATGCCAGAGGGATCAGGGCTGTACCTGGTGGTAGGTAAAACGCAGGGAAGGCCACCCGGACAAACCGACGATGAATACTGACCTAAAATATATTACCCCAAGTGATAATCCGGTGAACCCGGCAAATTCACCCTCTGCGGAGGCATGGACCCATGGATTTTGGGGGGGTCCATCAGTATTCGTCAACCGGTCAGAGCTGTGCAGCCTGGCTGACGTGCCTTCGGGCAGAACTCAAACCGACGCGCCTTCGGGCAAAAATCTGACATACGCTAATGACCCTAATCTGACCATAATTGACGACGCTGGCTACGTCCTGTCAGCCAGAAGCACGCTGCGTCTCAAAGTCGGCGGAGACAATGAGGACAAAAATGGAGAGTGCGGTTCGTCCTTTAACACGCCGACTTTCCAAGGTAAACGTAGGAAACTCGCCGAGGACGACCTAAGTCCCGACCCGAGTGGCTCTCTGAGTACGCACGCTTTGGACATTGAGAAGTACTCGGACGAGGTAAGCACGCAAATTATTGACTCCCGAGCGATCCTCGAAGACATGATCAAAGAAACAAAGGTAGCTAGAAGATGGGTAAGCACCATCGGTCTCCAGCTTGACGAAATCCTCGTTAGCAACAACCGCCTTGCTCGTACAAGCTATAGATTCCTCGGAATGTGGGAAGAACAGCGCAGCGAACTCCGAGCGTTTCAGGAGCATATAAATGACCTCCATAGCGACATGGGCGCTCTTAAGGAACGATACAGTCAGTGCCAGGCCGACAGAGACAGTGCCAAGGCGGAATTGGTAGCCCTCCGTGCGTCCGGCAGTTCTGCCCCCCAGCCGTTAAGTACGCCAACCAGGCTTATACCGCCACCCGTGGAATATATCGATATAGATGATGACACCATAATGGTAGTTAGTCCATCCGGTTTATCCTATGCTGCTGCTGCAGCCAGACCGACAATGTCGCCTTCCTATTCTAGAAAGGAAAGGAAAAAACAGGATGATTTCCCTGTGCTTAAAACACCATTAGCGCCAAGAAAAAGTGCCAAGGATAGGCTGGGTACCAAAAAACCCCCAAAGACCACCGCGAAGCGCTTAGCGACGATAAAAGCCAGGGACAGATCCGCCAGGACAGGCCCAAGATTCGAGGTCACAACGGGGGGTCGAGGGATGGCAGGACCTTCGTAAGTCAATCGAACAGAAACTGCCAAACCCTAAGGTCAGAATGACAAAGTCCAAGAACGGCGGCTTGGTACTCTTCCCCGAGGACGATGTAACCGCGGCTGCTCTGCGCCGCACTACCAAACTTGTCGAGAGGGCCCCTCGGAGGCCAAGTTTCATCATTAGGGCTGGGATTTATATGTAATAAAAAACCAAAAATATGTACATATATATGTAATTAAAATTGCCAAAATATGTAGTATAAAATAAAAAATTTGAGGTATAAAATAAAAATTATGTACAAAGAAAAATTTAAAAAATACCTATGTTAAAGTTTTAAATAAAAATACAATTCTAAATAATTTTTGATCATAATTGAAATACAATAAATTGATGTTTATTCAATTCTAAGGGAAACAATGACAAACCATATATTGTTTTAAATTTTCAAAATTAAATGTACGGCGATTTGGTCTTAACACTGACCTATACCTACTAAAGGAGCGTTCCACATCACAAGATGTTATCGAAGCATACTTCATGGGTGTTATTTCACTAGGTGAAAGATTGAGCTCCGTCGTGTCTTCAACCGCAATACCACAAAGAATGTTTCTTATACATTTAATGGTCTTCAGTCCCGAATTTTTGTTTAAAACGACGTTCATTTTATTCTTTAATAATTCTGCTGTTGGGCCCTCTGATTCATTAAATTTGGAAATTGATAAATCAATAATTTGTATGCTTTCACTCAACGGAATCTTGGTGTTTTCTAATTTTGAAATTGATTCACCCAAAAAAACTAAAATTAGACACAATATATGATTGATCAGACTTTATATTAGGTCTCTCAAAAATTTCTTTACCCTTGGAAATTGATGCTGCATGTTCAGAATCCAACATAGATACTATATTTTTAATTTCATCATACAATTTGGAATAATAGTTTAACGCTTGTAACCATGTCCCCCACCTTGTTATAATTGGCTCTGGAGGAAGCGGGATGTTTGGGTAGTTATTTTTGAATATTACTAAACCACTGAAATTGTCAAAATTTACGAAGTATGTAAATAAAAACGAAAATTTTACTAAGTATGTAAAAATATGTATTTATGACGAAAGATGTAAAAATATGTAAAATAAAATATGTCTTATTTTATTGCAAATCACGTGAAACGAATTTATCATTTGCAATAATTAATTTATCGTGTTTCACTAAAAATATGTATTTACATACAAATCCCAGCCCTAGTCATCATTAAATTTGTAGATAGACTATTAGAAAAAGACCTGATCCCGTGGGCGCTACGTAAGAATGAGTCTCTTGATATCAGCGAACATGAGCAAAGCAGCATAAAACCGCTATTCATGCTAGATCCACGAGACGGACATGCGGTGCATTGGGTTGTTGAGATCGCCCCAGAAACTCTGCCGAAAATCGAAGGCAAATCGGCTTATCTGGGGTTAACCAAATGCAAAATAAAGTACGACGTAGTAACTCAATGTTTTAACTTCCAAGGATTTGGCCACACGGCCCAAAAATGCAGGGAAGAGCAACCCAGATGCAGGAAATGCTCGGGACGCTACGACTCACGGTCATGCACGGCGCAAACGTTAAAGTGCCCTAATTGTCGAAGTGGGAACCACAATGCGGCGTCAGCTAATTGCCCGGCAAGAGCAACGGCAATTAGACGTCCCAACCGCCAGACTGACTTTGGGACCACTGACCTCTCCCCAAATGACAGCTGAGATCAGAATCATTCAGCAAAATCTTAACAGGGACCGCACGGCTAGTCACCAGCTCCATGAGCTTTGTGTCGAAAAAAGAATTGACTTTGTCCTGGTACAAGAACCGCTTATCTTAAACAACAACACGATCTATGCATTCGAAACCTGCAGGCGTGCGCACATCAGTAGAGACGCCGGTGCGGCAGTCATAGTCCTAACCACCCGATTTCAGAGCATCCTTTTAGGGGCCTATTCGTCAAGCCACACGGTTGCGATCAGAGTAAGGTTTGGTCCTAGACAGGTGGACGATGTTATACTCGTATCATCTTACTTCAAGTATAACACACCTACGATACTCCATATTGAGCGTCTGAGCCAGATTATGGTAAGGGAGAAACGTACCCTGATCGGTGCGGATACCAACGGCCACTCGAAACTTTGGTTCTCGGAAACCCGGAACCGTCGAGGGCGAACCGTAAAAGAGTTCGTTTATAAATATGGCCTCAAAGTTCATAACTTAGCTGGTCAAATGAACACCTTTCGCCGACGAGACAACAGCACGTCGAATATTGATGTCACGCTTACGTCGGCTGACATAGGGCACATAGTTCGAAATTGGAATGTCAGCGATGAAACTGACAGTGACCATAGGGTTATAAGTTATAGCCTACACGTTCGTAAACCGCCCCCGAGAATTCCGGTGCCCGTGCGGTACAACGCTAAGACCGCGGACTGGGATCTGTACAACACATGTTATGAAGAATAACAGTTCTTCACATTCATGAAGAACTGCTAAACCATTCAGCCTATCTTCGGACATGGTGGATCGCATATAATTTTTAAGTCGTCTTAAAGAAGAAAACGATCTCTCGGCAGTAGCGGTTGTAATTGGTATCGTTGCAAATATTTGTAATAGAACTTTAATACTTGGGTAAAATGTATCACAATACTGTAATGTCTCTATATCTGATTTTGGTTCTACTATATCTGTTTTTGTCCATTTCAATTTCCAAAGTTCCAATTCAGATTGTAACTCCATATCTGAGTTTGCCGGTAGGTCCTTCATATAAATTAATGATGCTTTCAAAATGTCAGTTATTATCTACACTCTACAGCAATCGAGATAGAAAAAATACTGTACTGTTTATCTGTTTCGATGTCTACATCAGACCAGCCATTCCACTACTATAATAGTAGAATTGATAAGAACATCGGTACTATATTCATAGCGGTTGAAATGCATGTTTGCAGGCAGCAACCACAATCCAGTATGACTGGTTTGTATAAAGAAAACTGTTCTTTTGTTATTATCAAATAATGATAAAAAAAGAATTTGTTATAAATATTTTTTATAGTGATTTCATTTCATATAACTTAAAATATGGCAAAAAGGGAGGGGGGCTAAAGCCCCTTAGCCCCCCCCCCTCAGATCCGCGCCTGAATGCACTTATTGCATATGAGTATACTACACTTACTGTTATAGAGTTTTTTAATGTTTGTTATTGTTACGGTAATACCTAACCAACACAAGTTTATATTAAATTATGTATGAACAACACACTCTTTTTTACTACTTACTACTGACCTAGGTCATATTTTGTAAGTTGTGTACTAGATAGGCATTTTATCATTTAACATGTGGTACTCTTAGAAATGTTTTTATTATTTCAAAAGTTAATACAATAGATTTGTTTACGTTTATTCCGTGTTAATATTCACTATGATCTTAGATACATATTATATAAATTGTTTCTGTACATAACTTAGGTTACTCTGCTATACCTACTCATACTTTAAAATACTGTACTGGCTCGGTACAACATTCTTGAAAACTAAAAGTCTATTTTATCATAAGAATTCCAATCAGCTTATTATATTATAATTGTATGTATAGAATAACTTGAACGACATTCAATTGTGTTGCTACTGTTTCAGATTTCAGTTGCATAACAAACGCTGGGTCAAGCTCATACATTGACTGTTCGAACGCGGAACGGGTTTGCCGCCAAAACAAAGGCAAAAGCACGGACACTCCAAGTCGCGTTAAACGTCGAAGCTCCGAGCGACGCTTTCCCCCTCCGTAGTCCCGCGCCGCCGTCGACGGCCGTCGAGCTGGCCATCGGCCGTCGTGAACATTTATAAAAAACTGTCTTTTTCCAACGGCTGAACGAAGCGCAACGTCCGCGCTGTCGTTCCCGTGTGTGTCGCGAAAACCTCGTGTGAGCCCGTGCTGTGATCAGCGGCCACGATCGGTACCTAGTACCTACTTCCGAAGTACGTTTTTCTCGCGTTTTAATAGTCGTCGCGGTACGTACTTGTTGCTACATCGAGTGACATAGTAAAAGTCGCGTGTTTTGTCCGTCGTGATCGACGTGTGACGCTAAGCTCACATCGAGTCCGTTTTTCGTGTATTTACGCCGTGCGCGTGTTTTACTCTACCATCCGCGTGCTCGCGAGTGTTTTGCCACGGAAAGACGTAAATATATTATTCGAGTTCGCGTTCGCGCTAGTCGCGTGGAACCACGAGCTATCATCGTCGAGCGACGAGCTGAAGATTTGTCCGCCGTCGCCGTTCCGGCGAGGTACCTACTTTGGTCAGCAGTCATCACCAAGGATCAACGCAGTCGCCGAGCCACGCAGTAGCCGTCGTCATTCATTGTTTTTTAGTCCCACGTGTCAGTGGGCTCTTTATATAATTATTGTTCACCAGCTATGGTATTTAGTTGTTATGTTAATTTATACTATATTATTTTGGACGTGTGTGAAGTTGGGTGACCAAAACTAGGTGACTATTTTTTTCGGGCGGCTAGTGATAAGAAACCTTGCACGTTGTGTTGCATTCTTTAAATTTCAAGGGTGCCTACTATTGCATCGAAACTATAAAGTAGATGTCGCCCTATGACAATTAATAACTATTTATTTTAAAAGTATATAAATAAATAATAAATTCTATTGGCGTCATTACCACGATAATTATACCGAAACCATAACTATACCGAATTATACAAATCAATATTAATTTAAAGTTAGGTTATAAATTGCCCTAATGTCGAAGACATGTTCTAACAAATTAACATTGTACTTTTGCAGTTTACATTAACTAATTAAAAGTGTAAACTGTTTAACGATGTCATTTGTTAGAGATCACATTCTACGGAAACAGGTAAGTTTATGTTATGTTAATTGTTTTTATTTAAATTAATTATGTAATAATCCGTTTATCTATCCACATACTGAATGGTAGTGTCTATGCAAACGAAAAATAGGCAAAACTCTATGTTTTTGGTTTTTTTTTGATTTTTCCGGCAGTGTTCCGGAAGGAGTCGAAGAACCTAACATAGATATTCGGAAAGCCAGGAAAATTTACTATCCGACGAGATAAATTTCAAGAGCTCCCTGGCTTTTTAAGTAACCGTACTTAGTGCATGAAAGTGCCAGGTGACTAATGCCGGTATGACTTGAAACGTATACGTGCGCGTGGTTTTTGATTTTTCCGGCAGTGTTCCGGAAGGAGTCGAAGAACCTAACATAGATATTCGGAAAGCCAGGAAAATTTACTATCCGACGAAATAAATTTCAAGAGCTCTCTGGCTTTTTAAGTAACCGTACTTAGTGCACGAAAGTGCCAGGTGACTAATGCCGGTATGTTGCGAAACGTATACGCGCGCGTGGTTAACACGAAAGTGCCAGGTGACTATTTTGGTGAGTGCTTATATTTTGTATTTCTGTGTTGTACGTATTATTAGCCACCATAGCCGGCGGCTTCCAAAAATTATTAATGATGATTTCTATAGGTACATCACGATCTTAGACAATAGCTGTAAGACCGTGATGTATAATGTAAATATAATACAGTATGAATTATATTTACACTGGATTAGATTTTCATTTAATTATTGTCTGTCTTATCTTTAGTGGTATTGGACTTTGAACTGTGCATTTTAAAATAATTACACCATAATGGTCACAAGAATGATTCTTGTGACAGTTAATTTTGCGGATGTGCACAATATTTATTTTTTTTTTAATGGCACGACCCATCTTTGACCACAAACTAATTTTCTTTGTATTTTTTTATTCATTTTAGTGGTTGAATTTCTTTTCTAAGTTAATAAATGACCGAGTTATAGTAATCTGATTTTATGTTAACTTCGTATTTTATAATCTGTTTTACCCATGTATAAATAATTTGTGCTCAAAGATAAGTCTGTGCCATTTAAAGTAAAAAAAAATATTGTGCACATTCGCAAAATTAAGTAATAATCATTCTTGTGACCATTATGGTCGAATTATTTTAAAATGTAGATAATACTGTTTACTAGTCAGCCAAAAAAGCAGAATCGAAATACATGAAGCCTGCACATAGTTATTGAATGTTTCCACACTGTACACAGTTTAATAAAATTGTTTGATTAAATGTAAATATCTAGATTTTTCACTATGGAAATTATGATGATGTTCCAGTAGAAAAAGTGTAGTCAATACCATCATGTATTCCTAGACACAATTTAAAAATATTTTATTAAATATTTATTATAAATGGATCTCTATAAAAAAATATTAAAAATCATATTGACTTACCAGGTAAATAAGTTAATGGTAGAGCTAAAATGTTTAGTGTACTTAGATTTCATTAATAAAAAAACCCTTCTTTGTCAATAATCGTGATTTGTTAAACGTATGTATTACTATTTTAACATAACTACAATTTTTTTTAACACATTTGGCGAGATATTTAATTTATATAAAACTTTATTCATAGTATATACACATCGATATCAAATTTATTTTTATTTTTGAACAGTTTATGTTTACACATTTATAATAGTACTTATAATTACTTATATGTACCTACCTATATAACACAGTAAAAGTGAATAATTTAAACTACTAATGTTACGATTTTTGTGTTTAATAAGAAAGGTTATTACCTATTCAATAATATTTAATAATGCGCTTTTATACTTAAATATAAGCTTATAATTTACTTCCACTTAATATACCTGATAGTTAAATTAACAGAATCAACACGCAAAATCTATGTGTATCTTTTTATTTTCTAAAAAAATGCTATATATTACATTTGCTGTTTTTGCTTTTCGAAAAATACTATATTTTTGCTTTCTGTCACTCATCGTTGTGTCTGCAGTAATGAATCGCGGTAAAAAGGTCCGAAGTAAAAAAGTCCTAGGAAAAAAAGTCCGGGTAAAAAAGTCCGAGGCATAAAAAGTCCGCCGTCAATAAGTCCTAAGCCAAAGAAGTCCGAGATAAAAAAGTCCGGTGAATATTATATTATATAGTATATACATAACAATATTTATATTCAATGATTATAATTATGTACTTAGTATAATAACATAAAATATACATAATATATCAATTAATTAATTAAATTGAGTACCTATTAACTATATCGTCATAATATAAAATATTATACAAAAAAAAATTCAATGATTATAATATTATGTAGTTAGTATCATAACCTAATAATGTATGTTGAAGGGTATATGCATAACCACCCACAACTATTTTGGTGCCTTTTTCGTTGATTTGTATGATTTCTGACATTTCTGACATTTTTTCAGGCACTTACGGAATGTCGAACTATACTAACAAAACGTCGAACTATACTGACAAAAATCACAACTGTTCAGTTACCTATGTACGATATGTAGTTACACGGTGGAGTATGTCCACCACCTATAGATAATACATATCTCTATCTATATTAACTATGTATATCGGATGCATATCAGATATAGGTAC